GCAACAGAAGCCGAGGATTTGGTTTTATTTGCGTTTTAGCACGGCTTCTCACAAGAGAGTTCTTTGAACTCATTTTAGACATCTGCATTTAAAAAGACTCCAGTGATAACAATGATAACACAAAATGGGAGTGATTACTTCTCTGTGAGCGGGGACTTTGTGTTACCACAGAGTTTTGTCCTTTTTTTTAATACGGAGATTAAATCCTCTCTTCTCAAACTCTGTACCGGCTGACTGAACACCAACATGCCTCATTAGAGTCTCATTGTTGATGTTGTTTTTCTGCTGTGGGTGGCAACAAGGATTGTAATGAGCTGTCTACATCTCACAGTCAGCAGCCACCGAGGGCCACCTGTGTGTAGGAGTGCGCTTCACAAAAAGTACAATATCCGTCTGATTTAAATGATTGCAAGCCATTACATCATGGTAATATTGCCTTCTAACAATTAAAAAAACAGAGATGTGGAAAATGAACATGTTTTATACACACTGCGTCCATTTGGGAACTTCATTACCTAACTTTAGCAAAAATAAATGTACAGTAAGTCTAGTTACTTGAACTTTTAAACTTATTTTTGACTCAAAGTATCTTCCATACATCCATCCCTCTATGTTCATCCATCCATCTTTGCAGAGTCAGAGAGATTCTCCATTGGTCGTTGGGTGAGAACAAGGCAACTTAAGCATCAATAAACAACAACGATGTATGCTGGGACAGAAGTAAATAATAAAAATAAAAAAGATCTTGGGTATTAAATCAAATCTTTGTTTATTTCCATCCATATTCAGGAACTGCATCCTTTAAAGATTGCATTTGAAAGCTGATTGAGTTGCAACGATGTTTAAATTTAAAAGCTTTTCCATAATTCCTCAATTTGAAGAATTGGTCTGTCTTATCCTTCACAGCACAGCAAATCCCAAGATTCATTGCATGCTGAACTTAAAATTTGAGTGTGTTAAAATTTGGTGGTACAACATGAAAAGCCGAGATTTATCATTCAAAATTCTGTTGTTTTTTTTGCACGTTTTTGTGCTTTCATCAGTGTTTCTAGAAACAGTCCTGAAAACAACCCGTCCAGCTGTTTCCTGGCAATAAGTTGATTTTTGGTTAACGAGTCGTTTCAAAAGCCTCGGCAGGCGTTCCCCGTTACCTAGCAACCCTCATCCGGGGGTCCTAGCCCCGTTACCTAGCAACCCTCATCCGGGGGTCCTCGCCCCGTTACCTAGCAACCCAAACTCCCCCAGACTAAATCAGCTGCTCGTTTTGTACAGTCGTGTAAAACCACAATCTGTTTGCTGCCATGTTCACAGTCCAGTCAAAGTCCAGTTGGGGGCGTGGCCAGCAGCAGCTCATTCGGATTTAAAGTGACAAGACGCCCGAAAACGTCTCAGAACAGGCAGAACTGAGCAGAATAAAATCTCATCATCTAAGAAAGATGATGTTTTCTATAACCCATACACCCGGCCTAACCTATTCAGGGACGCATAATAGGTCACATTTAAAGTGGTTGTGTTGTTGGGCTCTTATTACTCATGTATTTTAAGACTATTAGAATATATTTATTTAATTAAATCATTCATTTTATTACTTAGAAAGTTTTCAATGAGTAAAACAGAAAAACTTTTAGGCAGCGTTTTTGCTAGCTTGAGTCTGGGCTGTCATGGTTGCAAGGCAAACAGATATACACCAAGATAAAGGTGGGAATTAATCTGAAGGTTCTGGACCACGTGGGTCAAACCCGAGGCCTGCGGGCTAAATCTGGCCCGCCGTAGCTTTTTATGTGGCTCTCTTGATGCCAAATTACCCGTTTTTTTCACAAATCTGTAAAATTCAAGCAAAATCAACAGATCCACACTTTTTATTTTCTTTACAGTGCATTTTTCTCAAAATCGGCCAAAAACATTGGGTTGAAGCAACTGCTGCCTCAGCATTACTTGATGTCAAGCATGGCGATTAAAAGAAAAGTCACATTTAACATCAGACATCAGCACAAATAGTTCTAAATTAACACCACAAAATCTGTGGTTCTGATAGCAAAGATCCACAAAAACAATCACAACATCCTGGATGGACTGATAAGCGTGAAAGATGTTTAAGTTCATTTCATTTTAAGGGATAGTTATTGAATGCAGAAACAAACAGATGTTTATAAGTATTTTAACAGTTTAATGGTTTTATCAATAGATTCTTGCACCACTTTAAGAACATTCAGATTTCTAATATGGCCCAAAATGAAAATGGGTTTGACACCTGTGCTCATTTATTTACCTTAATAAATAACTTGTTTCTGACCTCACTGAAAACAACACAGCAGACTAAATAACTCAGTAGTTCTCTTCAGTTTGACTATAAAAAATATCAATGTTGTTGGGAAAGGTAGTAATAATCCAGGATGTACGAGAGGATGGATTAAAAGGCTTCAAAACAAACAAAATGAAGTGCAGCACACTTTGTTATTAAAAAAAAATCACCACGATGAACTTCAACTGACCAAACCCAATCAAAATTTGGAAATTTTCAATCAAATTGTCTGAACATTTGCGTGAACTGGAGCAGTAACGTTATTTACTCTGTTTGCCACAAAGAAAATGACACAAAATCAAACAAACTGTGAAACAGTAAAAGTTTTTCCGACCTACAGCCAAAAACCCGACGCTTAGAAAATGGTGAAATCTGGATTCTAACGTTGGCCATAATGTTGACTCGACATTCTGCTGCAGAAACCTGAGAAATGATCATTTCTAATGGAAAGCCGTTTATTCTTCTCGAAATCACCGAATCAGTTTAATCTCATCTGTTCAATACATATCTCTATGCATCAGTGGTGGGACATTTCACTGTTTACCAGAGTTAGATAAAAGGAAATGATAGCGATGTCTTTATTTCTAGACTAGATTCTCGTCTGATTGAATATCACTAATTTGCTGTTTCCCTGTTAAATCCATTTAATCACCAGGATGATTAAATGTGTTGGAAACGTACAGCTGACCTGGAGTCGAGCTTTGATCAGAGAGGAATGAATGAGGTTGAGGCAAACCTTTATTGCAAATGAAAGTGTGGTTCTGAAATTTTCTTTCAGGACTTTTTGTTTGCGGTCAGATTTTGCTCGGTGATGCTGAGTGTTGACATGGTGCCTATTCGTGGTTGTCATCCCAAAGTTTTCATCATAAAAAGCCACCTGTCTGTTTGTGGAAGAACGCATTCAAGATGGGAAATTGAAATGGGAGGCAGTGCCTGCTTCCTGGCTCTGACAACATGTCATTTTCAGCAGCAGCATGCCATTACCTGGAGTGTTTGGCCATCTTCTGGCTGCAGAGGTCCACCTTGTAAATGTTGAATGTGAAATAGAAATCCAGTCATCAGCTGCTGTCGTAAACAGTTTACCCCCGTGTCTTCACAACCCCTTCCTGAACCTCGCCAGCCACCATCCTCCGATTTGAGCCGCAGGATGATGCTCTATCTGCTCGCTGCTTGTAAACATGCCTCCCTTTGCTGAGCTTCTCCAGGTTAAGAAAAGCCTGGAAGAAAAATCTTTGATCAATTCTAAAAATAAATAAATAAAATCCCGACCTTGACTGTCACCGGTGACTCACATATTGCCTCAGTCACTCTGTCGCTCCTGACCAAATTCCCCTCTCAGCCTGAACAGAGCTGAGGAAAAACAAAGTAATGTCCTCAAAAATTAACGTATGACTTATAGAATTATGTACAACATATGCAAAGCACATGTTTTGCATCAGGGAAATGTGTGATTTTGAGCATTTTGATGGTATAATGAACACATGGAATTATGGGTGTTATTATTGGGACTGATTTACTCAAACCTTTCATTCATGAATTATGATCCTTTATGTCAGGATTTTTTTGTTTTTGATTTTAGATTTTAAGGTATTTTTTAAAAAAGTAGGAAAAAAATAGCTAAAAAATTTTTTTTCTAGGTTATGAGTTGTAATTTTCTCCAAATACAAAGTTGTTATTTGGAGTCGCGTTGCTCTTTAGGGGTTATGTGATGTCACATAGGCCTGTCACGATTACAGATTTTGCTGAGCGATAAATTGTCTCAAATATTATTGCGATAAAAGATAATATTGTTTGAAGATCTTTTTACACTGATTTAATGGATATTACGAAATAATAAATGCGATTTTCTGCCAAAGACAGATACACTTTATTTTCAAAAGAACACTTAAAACACAACCAAAAAAAAAATTGATTCTCAGTCTCCATTAACAAAAAATGTACTTGAATAAAAACTAAACAACCTAATGTTGTAGATTGCATTATTAAAAATGTTTTCTGTCAGGTTCTGTGTTGATTATTTGATTCTGGGTTTGATTGTTTCTGTTTCACTTCATTTCTTCGTTGTTCTTAGTAGGCGGGGCTAAAATCGCTCAAATCAAAATGATTGGTCTGAACTGGATTTCAACAATCAGCTTAGCCAATGAAATACCAGGAACTTTTGTAACATTTAGCAGTAACAGATCAAAAATAATAATTAATGGTGCGCATGGAAATTATGATCCAATTAAATACAAGCTGCATTAATAAATACAGTTTGAACAGACTACTGAAAATACATTTAAAATTTAGAATCAATTTTTTATAGAGTAATTGCTTTATGTCCGGGTTTATTTATTCAATTATTGAATGATTTGTTAAATTTTTGACTTCCTGGAGGATAAATATATCCTCCCAGCTTTGAGGGCTGCATTGTGTTAAGTCCGAAAGAAGAAAATCACCATAGACATTATTACAGCAGCTCTAATCGTTGCACAGCGGATTATATAATGGACTAAAAGTGAATTTCTAAGTCTCTGTAATTGATTTACCCTAATAATGCTCATCTTGTCCAAATGAGGGATTATTCTGAGGAGGAGAACAATTGTCATGGATGGAGGAAAAGTCTCAGATCACTAAAGTCTGATCCAGAAAAGGGCAAAAGCTTGACAAGAGACACAAGGAGAGACGACCTTTTGATGTGTTTTTTGCTTTTTTGCAGCTGTCCAGTCTCTCAACAGCCTGAACGACCAGATCGCTCAGTTCATGGTGACCCGACCCTGCAGTCTGGCTGATGAGGAGGAGGCCTTCATCCCCGGAGAGAGGGACACCCTCAGGAAGTCCATGACTCTGATGAGACACCTGCTGATGGACGCTCAGGTAACAACACCTCCTCTCAGTGAGATGCAGGATGATTCAAATAAACCATTCTGTCCTCGTTTTACAATCCTGCTTTTCTTTTTGGGTCATTGACAGTTTAGTGGAACTTCAACAAAGATGTTGTGGTTTAGCTTTGACTTCTGGAACAGCGTAATGTTGACCTCTAAGTTTAAAAAAACAAACAAATGCTACATTTGTAGTGAATAATCTGGATCAGACAGAAAGATACAAAAACTATTGCTTTCTGTTTTCTGTCCAGTACAACTGTGTACGTTTATTTAAAGTGTAAGTTTAAGTTACTATACTTTTTCTCCAGAATAATAATAGATAATATATTATTTGTCCCAAAGGGTTTTATAATCTGCAGCAGTGCCATATAAATATAAATCACCACTTGCTGATTTAGAAACACTTTTCTTAATATAAAATCTTTATGATTCAGTCCTCAGATTTCTGGGAGAAAATGTTTTCTTTGACTTTCTTATGTTTTTTTCTGCAACTGCTGTTTGAATGAGAATTGTGCCAAAAATAATCAATTATTATTTTGTCTGCTGGACTTGATTCATCTTTTACATCCACCTAAATGTAGTGTGAAAATGAAGCAAAGAAAACTAAAACTAATAGTTAGATTTTTTTTCTCTCTCTTTCTTTACAAAACAGATGAAAATTATTCAAAAATTGGTGGAATTGACAACAAATCTAATAAGAAAACTTTGAGTTTTGTTTACAATTTTATGACACACTTTGTATTTTAGAAGTAGGAAAGTTTCCAACAAGCTGAGGGAAAACATTAACAGAACAAGCTTTTCCATATATTTTCATACTTTCTCTAAAAGTTTTGTTAGTGTCTTCTTCTCTAGACTGATCTAAGAGTCATTCTTCATTTCTCACAGTAAAGTCGGCCCAGCTCTGTGAGAACTTTACCAATCTGAGGGAAGCGATAAACAATTCGCTGCTGAACTTTGTAAAGTTAGTTTTTAATTCTCTTCTTGGCTGCCTGCTCTCTGTTCGCAGCTACTTTAATACTCTTACAGATTGAACAGGAATAATCTTTTGAGCTTAAAGAAAGAATCCTTTCCAAAGTAATAACTTTTTCTCTCTGTTTCTGCCATCTGAGGAATGCTGCTTTTATGGGTAATAAATAATGAACTTTCTCTCTTAGCACCTTTAAAATACAAGTGCAACTCGAATTGTTCTGCAGAGCAAAGGCAAGACGCATAAAGATCTAAAGGATGAAAGACGACAAAACATAAATGCAGAAGCAGTTTGCAAAAACCAATGTGTCCCCAGTTGCTGCATTACATAATGTACCAGAAGCAATAAAAGTAAAAATGATTTAATATAAAAGTAAATCAAAGATGGAACATAATATGTAAAGCAAAAAAATTTATAAAAGTTGGTAATATTTTTTGCTTGAATGCAGAGGGAATGGAGGAAGCAAGCAGAAGCCTTGGCTTTATCCTGTTCCTGTTTATGTAAATTATTGGCTTGTAAAGTAATACAGAAACAAAATCTTTATTTTGAGACAAAAAGGTAGTCGAAACCATATATACAAAAACATTAAGAGTCCACTACACTGAATCCCATTGAAAACCTCCTGATTTTTCAAATATTGATTGTATTGAATATTGTTGTATTGTTGTTTCGAAATCGATATGAACTTGTTTTCTTTGCATTATTAGAGGCCTAAAAGAACCGCATCTGTTTGTTATTTTGACCGTTTCTCATTTTCTACAAATAAATACAAAACTTTAGCTTGGAATCTCAGAGACATGTTGTCAATAGTTCAGAGAATAAAAGAACAATGTTCATCAACATATTCCTATAAAAAGTAAAATCAGGGAAACTGATCATTATAGTCTCTTATTTTTTTTTCCAAAGATGTATATTTATAAAAATAAAATAAAATAAATCCAGTATAAGAACACCACTGTCACAAATCATTGAACACTTATTCCAATGTTTAAAAAAAGCCAAAAGTACATTGTCGCAAAGTGTAGCAGTAGTCAGAGCTCTTATTGTTAAGTTGTTTCATAAATCCAGGCGGTACATTAATTCATACATGAAATTCCTCAGCAAAGCATGAAAAGTTTTGCAAAGTTAATAACTTATTCTGAATCTGATTTCTATTATTTCACCCAATCAGTTGTTGAATCCACAGACAACAAAACCAGGAAGATAAAATTCCCTCTTCTCCTCTTCTTGATGAGAACATTATGAAAAACCACAAATCTAGTCAAATCCATTGACTAGTTTTTCTGTCTCAGAAAAATTAGAAAATTGTGGAAAACCAGTGAAACCACAGTGTTACACTGTGGGAACAATCAGGGACGGCTGCGTTCATGTTAAAATGGCCCGCCGCTTGACTTTCTGCCACCATGGTGAACATTGGCTAATTGCAATAAATGTGAACATAGAGCAGCAGTAGGGGAGAAAAACACTCACTCAGATATGTATATGTAATTGCAGATCATTGTGAACAGAAGGTGTGCAGCTTTTCACATTAATTTACAATCATGTCAAAGTAGAAATCAACCAGCCGAGTGGAAACATGCAATTACAACCACTACAGTGTAAAATGTGAACAAAATGTTTGTCAGAGCTGTTTGTGCTCTCTTTTGTTTAGTTTTGACACCAATCACATGTAAACTGCAGGGTTTGAATGGCCCTGCTTCCTGGAATGAAAAGACACATTTTGTGGGCCTGCTGGACATTGCAGCCAGTTTTCAGCTGCTAATTTAATATATTGGAAACATTTCAGTCTTCTGCACAAAAGCAGACATCGTCATTCTCTGCAGTCTTATTTCAGCGTCTGAAAAGCCACTAAAACAAGCAGTTCTGAATATCTGGAGCTCATTTATGCAGTGAAAAATATAATATATGAGACCCACTTAAAAATAAAACTGAAAAAGTGACTTTATGATCCAAACTTAACATGCAACTCACGTTTCAATTTCTCTAAAAATAAGATTAGAAGCAATATGAAACCCAAAACTAAAGAGACTGGAGCAAGCTAGCAGCCATTAATCTGAAATACAACACATGTTAAAAGTATCAACACTAATAAAGCTGCTTTTTATGTTTAAAACCCCTTATTTTGTTTCAAAACATGTCATTGCTGCTAATGAGTGAAATTTATGTTGTTTTTTTATTATCATGGTGTTGAGGGATTGATGCGTCCCGTTAGCATCAAAGTGAATATGCTACACTAAAAAAAGAGAATGGCGCTCCAAGTTGAAAAAACATGAGTTAATTTGATACATGTGAACAAATTTAGTTACTTAATTGAAGTTTGATTATATGACAGCTTAATAAACTGAACTTGATTTGATTATTTTCAGTTAGATCACCTGTCAATTTTTTTATTTATTATTGGTGAACACTGGATTGGCCTAATCAAAGTCCAAAATTTAAGATTTGTGGAAAGACTTGCAAACGGAAGCTTGCTGTTAAATCTGAATGATGTTTTGTAAAGAGGAACAGGCAAAAATGTAAACCTGGTTTAGATCTGCAACGTCTTGACTGAGTTGGACTAAATACACATTTTTACATTTCTATCTGTAATGAAACCATGAAATGTTTACTTTTTCTTCGCTGATGTGAGTTCATCTCTGCATGTTTGTTGTTATGAGGCGGCAGAATTTGACAAAAAGGTCAAGAGGTCTGAATGCTTTTGTAAGACACTGCAGCGTTTTTCATTTGATTTATTATTGATTGCAAGAGAAAATCCACGCAGCATGAAGAACATTTATGAATTACTGAATGTTTCTCAAGCGTGGAGAAGAATTATGTGACTCTGTGAACTCAGCTACCGGCATCATGACCTTCTCACACTGACTGAGTAGTTTTAAATTTCAGTGTTGAGTTTTTTTCTCCACAGAAGAGTCTAAATTGCTCCTAGGTGTGAGTTTGAACTGTGATGGATTGGCGACCTGCTCGCTTTCCGACTGGAGATAGGTCAGCTTAGCAGACTGAGAACATCTGTGTGCAGGGCCACAATGATTGATTTCTGCTTTTACACCTTTTCATTTCACTTATATAGTTATTTATTTGTGCATTAAGGCATATAAACCCCTTCATTCGTTCATTCAGTTGAAATATTGATTGAAGTGTCCCTCCATTCTCCCCCGCCACAGATGGGATTGTAATCGATCAGTGAGGAGTGACTCTCATTTGTCACTTTATTTTAACTTCCTTCTACTTTTTGATGAATGCTAAATAAATCCCGACACACTGATTCAATTGTACGAGCACCGTCGGCGTCGTGGATGATGGATGCCGAGCTCTGCCCTCGTTCTCCGGGAGATATTTTCTCAGACGCAGTGTCATTGATTAAAGGGAAGGTAATTCAGCAACAGGCCATTGCTCTCCCCTCCGCTCAGAGGTGGAAGATTATGAGCCTGCAGTCTGTTCCTCCTGTTAGCATTGGGAAGAGCGCAGATTATCTTACCAAGAAGTTGTACTTGTTGGGAAAAACAAAGCCACTCCTCCGACTGACAGGTTTCTCTGCCTGTTGGGTTTGTTTATGTTGGGTTGTTCACCTTCAGCTGTAGCTTGCTTCCTGTTCTTCACTTGGACAAACGGCCGGCTCTGTCAGCTGGAGGCTCATCACTCTGAACTGACAGAGTTCAGTTCAGAGTGATGAACTGATGAACTGAACTGAACTCTGAACTGACAGAGTTCATGAACTGAACTGAACTTAGTACATTATGAGATTCTGACATTTATTTGCTATAAACTTAGTCACATTTACTAATGACAGAACTAGTACGATGTCCTAAAATACACATAATGTCATAAATACGCAGATTTTTTTTTTTCTGCTTCTCTCCATGTGGACATAACATTAAGAATAATTTCTGTTTTCCAAAGTCAAAGTTTGTTGTGGATTCATTCTGAAGCATTTGGTTTTTTTATTTTAATAATAACTAGACAGAAGTCATGATTGGTTTTTATTTTAGAAGATACTGTGTTAAGTTATGCAACTGATTTTTATTTAA